GTGGGTAAAATGAGGACCCGGATTGTTGTTGGAGGCAATATGCTGACTCTGTAAACCGCTTAGAGAGGGCTGAAAGCCCTATGAAGCAGTATATAAGTCTAACTGCTCTTGCTACTCCTATTGCTATGTTTATTATTTTCTGTTAAAATGAATGACTATCTACCCTGGATCCAAGAAAATGGCTGTAGGAAACCCTAATGTGTTCCAGTTCTAGAGTCTATGCCTGCAGGTGTTTCCATATGGTGTCTTGAATCCTGGCAGAAAGCAAATAAACGATGATAAGTAGATGTTATCCATTCAGTCATGTCTGACTCTTGGAGATGCTAGCTTCAAGGTCTCTGCACAACTTCTGACCTTGCACTACTTCTTTGAGTTGTTCTGTGTTCTGGCTAGTGTCAACTTTAATGGTGTCCAGCCACTGCATCCTTTATGACCTGGTTTTCTTTTACCACTACCTCTTTCAAACATAATCAGTTTCGCCACTGAATTCCCCCACATGACATGATCAAAATAAGTGTGATGCAGTTTTGTGATTTTGACTTCCAGTGACATATCTGGTGTTATCCAGATATTTGCTTGTTACTTCACTGTAGGAAGATAGATAAAGTTATTCTTTAACCTGATTCCATACCAGGTAGAAATAGTTGGGCTCCCCGGTAAACATTTTTGCTACTGAAAATATAAGGTTAGGCAAACTTGCTTAGGATGATGGAATTTGTCCATTATAGCCCAATGATAATTTCTGCATCTCTAAGAATCAAGATTAAAAATACAAAGTTGTGGTTGGCTTATTCACAAAAGGATGCTTAGCCACAAAATATTGCCACTGCATTGTAATTTCTGTTTACTCTTCCCAGGTATTCCATATATTTTTACCATACCCTAAATTGTGATTCATTTGTTCCACAGGATTCTAATATAAGATTGTATCACTACTGAGATATGTTGTGAAATAGTTTTGTAGAATATTATCTAGGGATATAGTGAGATGGACAAGAGCTGAGTTTTCTGAATCTTTTCATTATCAGTACAAATAATAGAAGGGCATTTCCCATGGGCAAGCTGTTGGATGAACAAGGCCATTAATCTTTTTTTCATGTAGTACAGAGATGTGCAATTTAAGCCTCCAGGCCTCATGGGCTCCCCTGAGTGTATACAAAAATTACTGGCAAATTGTGATGTTTGATAAGGCAGCAATGGAACATTGTCCGCATTGATTATTATTCTTAATCAAAAATTAAATGGGAAGTTAGCATGGTGAAAAGCAGAAGACCAGCTTTTAAGCACAGTATTTCTAAGAATGCTTTTTGGCCGCACACCAGAGATGGAATTCTGCCTGTTTGTCCTGGTTCGGGTGAATCGGTAGTGGCCATGGTGGGAGGCATCGGCCACCCATCATCACAGACAATCTGTACATGCACAGAAGGTTCTCTGCATGCACACTCCCAGTTCTGAACCAGTGGTGAAGATAGCAGCATTTCATGTCTGCTGCATACGAAAGCAGCGTGCATAGCATTTGAAAGGGCGGATTTGCACAATATGTTAGTGTGAACAAGACATCTCTTCAAAAATCTTAAAACAGCCCTGTCCTTTACAACAAACTTCCTTGAGCTGAGGTGGCGCAATGGTTAGGGTGCAGTACTGCAAGCCACTTCAGCTGACTGTTATCTGCAGTTCAGC